AGAGCTGTTCAAAGTAGCAGATTATCTTACGTGTATACCCTGCTTGAGTACAAACCCCCATTGACGGCATCCTTTCACAAGGTCTGTAACCGTCTTCAACCCTATGAGGTCTTTGCATCCCTGCAGTTCTCGCTTCTTGGCCATCTTTGGTTTTATTCGCTCCGTTGTCGGCAGCCGCGCCTTCAATCAAGGTATAATCTTTGGAATTCTCCCACTAACCCTCTTTGTCTCTCTCACCTCTCTCTACCTTTCAGCTGCCCATTTGAACTTATTGCTTTTGGTCAGCTGTCCTAATTTCTCCTTGTGTCATTTGTTGTCAAATTCTGTCTGATAATCTGTCCACAAAGAACCCAAGGAACGTTTTATAAATTTATTCTTGGCAGTTGCATCACTGAGATGTTCTCTTATGTGGGTTTTTTGACCATATATTTATGAAAGGATCTTTTTGCTGACCTCCCATTAAGTGTGTTGGAACTCCATCTAAATTCATTCATAAAATCAAGACAAAATGTTTTATTGCAGTGAAGCAAATCATGTTTCCAGTGCTACATCTAGATAAAAATTGTTATTTGCCATCCCTTTAAAAAAAAATTTGCAAAGCTCTTTGAAAAAAAAATCCACATGTTAAAAACAGAAACACAGAAAATAGTCAATTTTTTTTAAAAATAGAAATTGTTAAATAGATAAACTTAAAACAACCAAGTCAGAATTAACTCATGCCCTTTGCTGGATGTAGTTCAACAGTGGAGCTGTTCTGTAACAGAGTGTCAATCCGAATGTGAGTTTTGTTTCAGATATTGCTGCATTGACACGTTTAGTGCTAACCATGGCAGGAGGAGTATGCATGTATAATTAGGTATTTCCAACCCTCCAACATTGCCTAGGACGCTCTAGTAATTACACTTCAAGCTCCTGTCATGAGGGAATCTGGAAGGTTAATCAGAGAGATTTAAAAAGATGTAATTATTTTATTTTCGGGGAAAAGACAGTGGTGTCAGAGTAATGTGACTTGACTCGTAATCTGAAGGCCTAGATGATCAGTCTACTTGGGACACAGGTTCAAATCCAACCATGGTAGCTAGTGTAGATTCAATGAATAAATCCTTGAATATAAAGGTAGCCTCAGTAGTGGTGACCACGATAACTACAGCTGATTGTCATAAAAATTTACCTCAGTCATTAATAGCCTTTAGGGAAGGAAACTGCCATCTTTACCAGATCTGAGTTACCTGTGACTCCAGTCCCACAGCAATGTGTTTGACTCTTAATTGCCCTCCAAAATGGTCCAGCAAACCATTCAGTCCAAGGACAATTAAAGGTGGGCAACAAGTACGGGCCTTGCCAGTGGTGCCCATATCCCTTGAACAAGTAAAAAGTTATTTGCAGACTTGCAATTATGAGTCATAAAATTAGTGTACCTGGTATTAAAATTGTCATTTGATTGGTAGTCAAGAATCAATTAGTTGGTAACAAAGTGTCTGTGCATTTTCCAATTGGCTTTGGGGAGGCAGGGCACCATGGTGATAGGTATAGTGGGTACCAATGGAATAGGAGGCCATGTGATGATACCCTCAAGAATATGTCCAACCAAATTTGACAATCGGACACAAAGGGATCATCGATCCATCAACTTGCAGCCTTCAGGCTTCTCAACAGTCAGCTGCATTCAGCCAGACAGAATTGTGCTCAGGAACAATCTACGAGTAGTACAAATGGGGAATTTTCCCTTTATGTTGCTTCATTCCCGTGCACAGGAAACCAAAACCTTAAGGTTTGGATATTGTTAAGAAGTCATAATGGGAGACATAGGAGGTAGAAGTGATAGAACCCCAGTGCTGAAAGTGGCCATTTGGCCCCTCAAGTCTACACTGACCCTCCAAACAGCATCCCATTCAGACCTCCCACCCTATCCCCATAACTCTACATTTACCATGGCCAATCCACCTAAACTGCACACCTTTGCAGAAACCAGATTATCAAACAGAACCCACGCTGACACAGGGAGAATGTGGAACTCCACACAGATGGTCACCCAGGGCTTGGATTGAACCCAGGTCAACCACTCTGAAGTGACAGTGCTAAGTACTGCCTACTGTCCCCGTGTATCCACTATGGAAGGTAACGTCTTTGCCTGGACAGTGGTTAGAATATGAAACTTCCTATCTCAAGGGAGCTGTTGAGGTGAATACCATAAAAGCAGTTATAAGCAAGTAAGATAAACACATGAGGGAGAAAGGAAATGAAGAATATATTGATTGATTGGGATGAACAGGGGATAAGAAGAGGATTATGTAAACACCAGCATGGGCTAGTGGGGCTGAATGGCCTGTTTTTGAGCTGTTAATTCTATAAAAAGTAGGAAGAAAGAACAAATTTAAAACAACAACAATTGGGACTTTGAGCACCTTTCCTTAGCAACAAGTGTTTAAAACTGAGACTAATTTATTCCTTGTTTCCAATTCCAGAACTGAAAGGTCAAACATGCTCATAATGAAATGCAGTTCAAGCTGTTGAACTGTTATAAAACTGAAATTGGCATTTCTGTCCCCTTTCATTGATAGTGAGCCAGAAACTGTGGTAGGATTTCCATGTCTGTTCCTGAAAGATGCAGCAATCTTTTCTCCATTAAGTATGTAAGTGCTTGTGTACATTGCCAGCAAAGTTTCTGAGAATTAAACAAGAGTCTGATGTTTAATAGTGAACCTTATCAGTGTCCATTCGGGGGATAAAATGAAAAATGATGCCTAAGAGTAACGGAAATAGGAAGGTCATTCTATTTAATTTTATCTTCCTTCAGAATATAGAAAACTTAAATTTCAGCCACCAGTAAGGTAAAGTTGCCATGGTTCTACTGGACCATAAGGCTGCTCTCTCTTCAGAGAGTGATGATTGAACCTGAAATTCACCCCACTTCAGGTAAGGGAAGTGGTTGAGAAGGAGAAACTTCCATGGTAGCTTCAGCCAGTGGAAAAATTGAACCCATGCTTTATGGCATCACTCTACATTGCAAAACAGCCATCCAGCCAACTGAGCTAATCAAGGCCCCTAAGCCACGAATAATTGTCAATCCATCAAGATGTTACCTATTTGCTAAGCATTTCTTGTATATCCCAGGAATGGGTTGAACCCCGTGACACTGGCTGGTTTTAGTAACGCAGTTTAGCATGGTTCAGCAGGTGAGGTGGCGGCCTGGTGGGACTCCATTGAACTATTGAGTCATACCAGTCTTGAAAATTAACTCTGCTTTTCTCTCTCCACGGACGCTGCCAGACCTGCGGAGTTTCTCTTGGAGACTGTGTTTGTTTCAGATTTCCAGCATCTGCAGTATTTTGCTTTCGCACGAGGAGATTGTTTCCAGTGGCAGAAAGCAGTGCATAGGGTTTTAATAGGATTGACAAAAGAACTGGAGGCTACATTAGGAAGAAGGATTTTACACAGCATGTTGGTGTAATTTGGCACATACTGTGTGACAGATTGGTGGAAGCAGATTCAATGGACACTTTCAAAAGAGCATTGGATTCAAAGGGGAAGGTTTGCTCTGCTATGAGGAAGAGGAAGGGACTGGCACTGTTTAGATGGCCTTTTGTAAGGATTGTTTCCTGCTACACTGTATTATTCTTTGAGGAAGGGATCAATATTGGTCAGGACACCAGCAAGCACTTTGTTGCTCTTCTTCAACATCTTCCCACAAAAAGCAGCAAAGTTTTGGTTCGATGTCTCCTGCAGAAGACAGTGGCACTGCAGCACTCCCTTAGCACGGTGCCTGATGGAACATGCTGAATTCTCTTCAGTGAAGCTTGAGCAGCGGGCGAATGTGTTGCCCACTGACCCACAGTTAGCACCTACTGCTGGATGAATTGCTGCTTCCTCTGACCCCTACACCATCAGATGTCCAATCACAATCACGCTCTGATCTGTACAGGCACCGTTCTCACTCTAATTATTACAGTGCACTGCTCATTAGACCAGGGGTATTGAAATGAGTTTATATAGGGACAACGTCGCACCTCTTAACAACAGAAAACTCGGATGGGACGTTGAAATTGTGATGGGGTGACACGATAAATCAGGAATCGTTTGCAAAGTCTAAGCCCCGAGGAAACATCTGAGGAAAGGGTCTTAAAATTATCTAATTATCCTCCACGAAAAATTACTCCCATTGTGCAAAAGGGCACTGTGGGAATGTAACATTACTGGGGAGTGGGGACTCAAGAGACACTGCATGCCCTATTACATTACATCTTTTTTTAAAAAATGATAAATTATGACAATTCCAACACACTAAGAAGACAGCATAAAACAAAATCCTTTCAGAAATACACGGTTAAGATTAAACCTATGTAAGGGGTAATCTCGATGGTGGAACTGCCAAAACAACGCTGAACACAAATACTTTGAAGAATATACTTATTAAAGCGAGCAGTTCAGGTCCTTAACGGCTGGTATATTCTTCAGAACAAAGATTGCAATGCAAGGACCAAACAGCTCAAGTGTTTCCAATACTCAACACAAGGTGATCATTTCACTCAGTAGTTTCATTGAGCCCCCTTCTCAAACCGGAGTGCTGCTGTGAGTTTCCCAAGGTGAGTTTTAGATCTTTTCATGTGCTTAAACTTCAAGAGTCAAAAGTCAACTATACACAAGCAGCACCAGGCACCCATCCCGCCGAGAACCTCTTAATGAGTGCCTAAAACATTCCATCTGAACTTCAATACATCACAGCAGTTAAACAACAAGAGAAGAAAAAGACTCATCTAACACAATAACTTTACAAATCGACCACGCTGCAGTGAACAAGATTCTGTTGTGTGACAGCGGAGCGTACCTTATCAATTATGATCTTGTATTTTGGATTCTGTCGAGCTAAAGATACGAACAAACCACTTAAATTCACAAAGCTTTCAAGGTTTTTTCTTTGGGGGGAGGGGTTAAAGATCACAATCAAATGGACTATTTGCAGCAAGATTGAATTGATCAGAACTGGTCGCGAGCCCTCATACCTTTTCTATTGCTTCAGGTCCGTCCCAGTATGAGCCGGAGAAGTTGTGGTGGTGTTATCCCGCAGCCTGGGGAAAGGGTACAGGTGTGCGATGGGGGGAGAGAGAGAGACAGACAGAGAGAGAGAGAGGGAGAGAGAGAGAGCCTGCTGGCTGGAGGTACACAGCTGGTTAAAAAAAAAACTTCTTTGCTCCTGTTCTTTAGCTGGGATGTGGGCTAGGTCCCATTAACTGCAGAGAATTTTACAACTGACACACACATAACCAGGAATTCCTGATCATATGGTAATGATATATCCCTTGTGTTGGAGCCAAGAACACTTTATTAGCCTTTTGTTGGATTCCACACCTCCCACCCCAACCCCCACCCCCCACTTTGGCTTGTGATCCCCTCGTTCCTCGGCTTGTTCAGTCACAAACCCAGTGCAACCGAACGTGTCATTTTATCAAACGTGTCACCGCTGGGGGTTTGTGAAAATAAACTGCACGACAGAGGATGCTTTGCCACATTTATCAGCGCTTACAATGATCATTGGCCAACGATCTTACTTTGGGGCAAGGCTGGAGGTCAAGAATTTGCCCAGTGGAAGTCAATTCTGCCACAATTTCTTTCTGAGAGCATTCAGAAAAGTGCAAGTATGTTTACTTTTACAAAAAAAGAGCTTGATGGGAGGCCCCCAACTTTAGTTGACAGGAGACGCCTGGCCATTTTTAGATTTATAACAAGCCAGTCTGAGCTTCAAAGTGCTCATTGCACTAGAATAGCCTCATTCAAAGACTATACTTTCACTGGAGTGAATGGCCAGCCCTCCCTTCCCCTCATAAATTAAAATTAACCTCAAGCACTCAGCAGACCACAAAACCCATGAAAAGAGATGCAATACAATTAGCATTTACTTTCCACTGAAATGTTTATTGTCACTGAAATGTTGTCAAAATATCTGCCCACGAATTGCTGAGGAAGAACATTGCACTGAGAGTATCAGGATCAAAATCAGAAGTTCTGAAGAAGGGTCACTGGACCAGAAAGTTAACTCTGCTTTCTCTCCACAGACACTGGCAGACCAGATGAGTTTTCCCAGCAATTTCTGATTTTGTTTCTGATTTCCAGCATCCACAGTTCTTTGGTTTTTTTTGGAAAGAATCAGGATGATGGGGGGTCAAATCAGGTACAGACAGAGAGTGAGATAAAGATTTGCTAAAAAAAAAACAAGAGAAGACAGTAGCAGAAAGGAAAAGTAAGAAAAATGATATAACTATAACTCTAGGAAGAATTACTATTGACTGCAATGAGGGCCCACAGTTTTGGTTGCTCCCTTTCTGGGCTGGAGAGATTGGGCAGCATCTCAGGACCATAAATCTCGTTATTAGAATAGGTATAGATTACCAACCCTGATTTTCTGCGTTGAGATTTCATTCATATTCACCACGCAAATCCAGCATTTCTTGATACTCACAGGTTGGGAAGCAGGGGCATGAGACTTTGCTGCCAAATTCATAGACTGAATGGACAAGTGGCCCCAGTTGTCTAGCAATTTGAGAGAATTCCCAAATTCACTGTGTATCCCTTGATCACCTTATTTTGCTGGTTTCTTTTTAATGTGCTAACAATGATGGACTTCATGAACTCATTACTAATTATCCATCAAATTCTGGGCTATTATTAAACTCAGACAAAATTACTGAAGACGGAATTAAATAAATGTGCCCATTTTTGAAAGTGTAGGGAAGAAGCAAAAACTGCCTCGAAGTTTTCCGTGATGCACAGTACTCCAAATGCAGTGCCACCAATGCCCTGTATAACTGAAGCATGACCTCCCTACTTTTGAATTCAATTCATACTTTTGGACCATTCTAAAGAAGAGTCACTGGACCCGAAATGTTAACTTTGTTTTCTTTCCACAGATGCTGCCAGACCTGCTGAGTTTCTCCAGCAATTTCTGTTTTTGTTTCTGATTTACAGCATTCCTTTTTTTTTTGAATTCAGTTGCCCTCCTGTTAAATGTTAAATTCCTATTACCTTTCCTAGTTACTCGTCTTATCTGCGTAAAATGTGTTAGGACACCCAGATCACTGCATCTCAGAGCTCTGCAACATCTTGCTATTTAGATAAGTGTTCCTTTTTTATTCTCCCTGGCAAAACAATTTAATTCTTTTTCCCACATCGCATTCCATTTGCTAGATCTTTGTCTCCTCAGTGAATCAATCCACATCCTTGCTGTAATGTGAAAATGCAAATGATTAGTAATTAGTGCACAGCAGGATTCCACAACAGCAACAGGTTCAATGTTTAAATTATCTGTTTTTGTTGCTATTTGACTTTAAATTCAAGCGACTAATAGCAACAATAACGATGATGATGACAATAATAACCGGTCTGTGAACAGCTCCTATGATGCTGCTTGGCCTGCTGTGTTCATCCAGCCCTGCACCTTGTTGTCTAGGAATGAAGTGCAAACAGGCAAATGTTTGCTTCACCAGTTGGGATGAAGTCCACTTTGTCCGTACAATTTTTTTTTAAATGTAAATTTCTATTTAAACAAGGGCTTCAGTAGAAAGAATCAGACAATCAATGAAACATGTCTGCGCACCAGGTCAAAATACCAGTCTGGACCAGTATAGATCTGTCTGTTGATCTAATGAATGAAAAGCAGTTGGAATTTGCACAAACCAAATGCACAAATCCTAATACTAACACTGCAAAATGATAGATGCTAGCATTGACAAGAATCTGTAAAGCACTTCAGGATATCCCACAGCTCTTTACAGCCAAATAAGTCTTCTTGGAATTGTAGTTTCTGTTGCAGCAGTAAACAATGGGCAGGTACTTTAGTTTGGTGATGCTCATTCAAGGAAAAATATTGGCCAGAACATCAGAGACAAATCCCCAGATTTTTGACTAGTGAGTGCCATAGATGGAGACAGGATTGCAGTGGCATTCCAACATCTTGGGCTCAAGTGCCAAGCCAAATTGTTGTTCGCTAAAGGTACGGTTTTCATTTGGCCAAACTGGTTGATTACTGACCTTCAAATCCTTCCAATACATCTGATAGCAGAGGTATGTTTCCTGATCAGCCATCCTACAGACGACAATGGCAAACCTTTGCAGTACATTGCCCATAAGCACAGACCAATCCAATGGAAACCCATATCCCAGCCCTTGGGGAAACCAGGATGGGGGAAAAGACAGTGTCGAAGAATCTTTTACAACCTCACTTCAAGGAAGCAGGCAAGCCTAATTTAGTGAGAGATAGTAGGAACTGCAGATGCTGGAGAATCCGAGACAACAAGGTGCAGGGCTGGACGAACACAGCAGGCCAAGCAGCATCACAGGAGCAGAGAGGCTGCCTCGACCCTTCATCAGAAAAGGGGGAGGGGAAGGGGGTTCCGAAATAAATAGGGAGAGAGTGGGAGGCGGATAGAAGAGGGATAGAGGAGAGGATAGGTGGAGAGGAAACAGAAGCCTAATTTAGTGCCTCATTCAAAAAGTGATACTTCCAACAGAGGAGAACTCCCTCAACAATGCACTTCAGATACTTGGGCCCCTGAGGAAGTGCTGCACATTTGGTGAGTGCCAATTGGCGCTGAATTTTCTGCATTGCAACTGTGACTACACTTTGAAAAGTACTTCATTAGCTGCAAAGTGCTTTGAGATGGCTTGAAGTTATGAAAAGTACATTTTCTTTCTGCCTTCCAAAACACTTTAGTGAAGATGATGGTAATGTCACTGGAGTACTAATCCAAAGGCCAAAGCTAATTTCTTTTATTTCAAAAATATACATTATTCATAACAAATATCTTTATACATAGTCACAAATACAGTTCGATTCTGTTCTGTAGTATATCAAAGAAACAAACAAACATTGGAGTTTGACGCTGAGGATGTGAATTCAACACCCACCATAGTAGCTGGTCAAAACTGGATTTATAAATCTGAAATAAAAGCTAGCCTCAGTGATGGTAACCATGAAACTATCATCAGTTCGTTACAGAAACCCATCTGGCTCACTGAGATATTTAATATGCAATCCTTACCCAGTCTGGTTTGATGTGATTCCAGAGCCAGGGCAAATGATAGCTCCTAATCCTCTCAGCTTGGGCAACCAATAGACCAGCAATGGCCACATCCTATGAATGAAGAAAATAGAAGTATGTGTACATACTTACTTAGGAACTATGTCATTCAACACCACTACTGTCTTGAGTTTGCCACATGGCTTGCCTGGCAACTAGTAACAGATGAGCAGAAATTTCATCCAACTAAGTCTTTTAAAAATGCTTTCATTCTTGCCATAAATTATGATCCCTAGCCACCAACTCCATTCTCCCTAGCAACTAAGGTTTAACCGGACTATTTGTAATCTTGATGCACCATATTTATCCTAAGATGAGCTTTTGACAATATCTCTGCACCATCAGCAAGAACCCCTGATCCCACCTTTACAACAAAGTCCACCTCTGTCTTTTCCTGAAGCCCTCATTGAACCCTTTGCTTCTATACCTAGCTAATGTAATGCAGTCCTGACCAGCCTCACACTATCTACTGTCCATAAGTTTAAGACCATCAAAATTGCTCATCCCACTGTGACCTAACTCACAACAAGTTCCATTTAACCATCAACACTTGTGCTCACTGGCCTGAATTAATTTCCAGTTAAAGAATACCTTGATTTCCAAATTATTTTCCGTGTTTTGAAATCCCTCCAAGGCCTCATCTCGTCCCAGGCCTATAATCTCCTCTAGCCCTACAACCCTCCACGATATCTGGGCTTTTCTGACTCCAGTCTTTTGCCTGTTTTAATTGCTTGATTATTGGTGGCCTTTCCTTCAGCCATCAAAGCCCAAACTCTACACTGCCCTCTGCAAACGTTTGCTAATATTTCTATCCTCTTTTAAGATAGCCATTAAAACCTTCCTCTTTGAGGAAGCTTTTAGTCCTTTTCAGTCATTTCTCCTTATGCAAACTTGCTGTCAAATTTTGTTTGACAATTGTTCCTGCGAATTGCCCTGTGATGTTTGCCTAATTTGAAGGGGCCACATAAGTACAAGTTGTTGCTGTTGAGAAGACATTTCTTAAAGATGTACAAAATTATGAGAGGTTTTGATCGAAAAACTAAAGAGTAACTGTTTTGACTGCCAGAAAGGTTGGTAATCAAAGGACACAGCTGTAAGACAAGTGGTAAAGAAACTGGAGAATTAGAGAGGAGGAGAATGTTTTATGCAGCAAGTTGTTGTGATCTGA